AGCTGTCATTCAGCTAGAATTTCCCAGGCAGTGATGTCAGCCACGGGAGACTCTTCTCAAAATAGTTTCCCTCTCCAAGAAAAAGCCCTCATATTTTAAACATTTTAAAAGAGGGTTTAAAATATTCAAACATATATATATATATAAAATATAATTATTTATTTGTTTATTTTGTTCTGAACTTGAGAATTGCATTCTGTGCATTTGAAAAGCACAGAGCAGATTAATGGTGAAAGAAAAATGATCAGATGTCACTTTCTAGCATGGACCCAATTCTGCTGGTTTGAGTCATACAAATGTAGCTCTAACAACAGCTTCGTTCTCTCCTGGAGGTTAGAGAAACATAAAAATATGCACCTCTGCTGTCATACCCTGAAGGATGAGAAGCTTGTTCTACTCAAGCCAGGTTGTACCAATCTTAGGGGTACAAATGCTCTGTATTAGATATCTCAGATTCAGATTTTCTCCCAGCATCCAACTGACACAACCTATAATGCTTTTCTCTTTTTCTTTCAGAAAATAAGGCCAGACAGCGAGGTACCTGAAGTACGTGAAAAAACAAATTCTGAAGTGCCTAATGCTGCTGTGACTGTCACAAACAACTCTGATTTAAACGACTCAAGGGAGATAAACTTTGAGTACCTTAAGCATGTTGTACTAAAATTCATGTCCTGCCGGGAGTCTGAGGTAAAGAATCCTAGAAAGACGGGTCGGTACGCTTGTCTTCTAAGTCTCTTTGTCTTTAAAAACTGGTACCTGGTAAGAATACTTCTATGCAGCCCAGTATTTTTGCACTTAAAAAGAAATTGACTGAGGCAGCACAATAAAGCAAAACAATAACATGTTTGGGAGTACAGATCATTAAAAACTAAGTAAAAGGTAGGAAGAAGTTATGTCTAGAAGTTAAAGACCTGAAGCTGCAAGGCATTTCCTCTGTACTATTCTAAAAAGCATATAGAATATATGTGATTATAAAGTAGCTGTATATTTAAGAAAGATAGCAACAGAAAAGCACATGCTGTTGAGGTATTACTTATAAGAGATGATTACTTGCATTTGGAGCTCCTTTGTATTCTCTAAGTTGTGTTGAAAAAGTTACAGGTAGAAAGAAGTCATGCCAGAGTATGCTTTTCTTAATTGTAGGTCAAGATAGTAGGTAGGATGAAGAAATAATTGTGCAGCTCCATAGTATCCAGAGTGTTTGACTCCTTTACTAGCTCTGCATGATGTATCTCACTTGCACTCTTACTACTATGCAGTTAATACATTGTGTATGTAAAGCAGCATGATTCTTATCTGTCTACATGCTGCTACAACTTTTTAAAACTTAAAAAAACAACAACAACAACAACAAAACAAACAACCACCACAGGATGCTGTAGGAGGCAGGCTTCTTCTCTATTCTAACCTTTTGTTTTCTTCCCCCCAAATATGCAAGCTGAAGAAAGCTAGGAGACACAATCAGAAGAAAATAGATACAGGCTGTCCTGGTCTATTGTAATAGGGCATAGTGGAAGGTTTTACTGTTCTGCTCTTTGCAGTTGTAATTAAAAAGTCTGCAACTAAGCCTGCAGAAAAACTGTGTTGCACTGTAGTCCAAAACACAGAGACTGAGAGCATCATAAGCACTGTGGTTTCTTTCAGGCATTCCATCTTATTAAGGCTGTATCTGTTTTACTGAATTTTTCCCAAGAGGAAGAAAATATGCTTAAAGAAACTTTGGAGTACAAGGTAAGGATTCTGTTGCACCTGTAGCCTATAACTGGACTTGCAGCAAAAGATGTGAATGCTCTTAGATGCTGGGAGATGCTGAAAAGTAGCTGCTCCTTCCAGATTTAATCATGTGAAACTATTTTCATTTTCACAACCTGAAGTCTGCAGAGTTCTGTTTTATAAATAGTTTCCATCGCTTGATGGGGAGATGCATATATACTGTATTCCTGTTCCAGTCTCCAGCTTCTTACAAGTGTGAACCTAGCATGATATGTATTGTGCTTTCCTGTCCTAGATGTCGTGGTTTGGGTCAAAGCCATCTCCTAAAGGCAGTATCCGGCCCTCTATCTCAAGCCCAAGGACACTGTGGTCTTAAGGGATCCTGAAAATGGGCAGTCAGCATCTAGCCACTTTTTTTTCTGTGAAAAGAACACTGAACACACCATTTCAGGTGTGTCTTAATCACTGTCATTGCAGTATTTTGTACAAGAACTTTGACACTGTTTACAAAAGTAATGCTGTGCAAGGAGAAACTTTCACTACAAACTGACACCTCTTGTGGGCTGGGATCAGGGACCTTTCTCGATGGTCTCTCAATGGAAGTCAGCTCCTTGTGCTCACCAGACCTGTTATCTTAGCACCAAAGGATAACATTAACCTCACTAACATGGGTGCTGGCAGTTCAAGGTTCTAACACGTGCACCTGTTGTGATGGTGATTCCAGCCTATGTTAGGGAGTGCGAGGGTTGAATAACTCCAGACACAGTGAAGCTTCCTTGTCTCATTGTGGAAAGCAGTGGGGAAAAAAATGTTGGCAATACTGTACTGAATTTTTGACAGTTTGAAATGACTTTCAAAGGACAGGAGCAGGAGCTTTAACCAAAAAAGAAATTTGCCTTGCCTTGTTATACTGACATAACTAATAGTCTGCATCTTTTCATATCACTGTGTAATATAAGGTGCATATATCCTGGCCTGCAGTCTTGAAGGCTGCACGTTGATCATGATTATTTAATTTGAGAGCACAACTTTAGAGTTGTCCGATTTTACTTTTCTTAAAGAAAAATAATATTTAAAATGGTCTTAATTATAGTACCTAATACTCAGTCGCCTTTAAAACTAATCTGTTAGTCTGTACCATAGGTTGTTAGCACTGGGAAGAAGGGGTAGTAAACCATTTTAAATTTTTAAAACTGAATTCCAGGTATTGTAAGTATAACTGAAAATACTTTTTATAATTAAAAAGAAAAAAGAAAAAAAAGATTATATGTATATATATACACATTGAAAGAGCGTGAATAATATTGGTACTAAGCACTTTGGGCTTTCTTCTTTAACAAGTCTGCTAGCAACAAAATTTCATAACCAGTATCTTTTGATGTGGTTTTGTGTAGTTCAGATACTGTTGCTTATAAACTGTTCTGAGCATTTAGTGGGCTGTTAACTGTGTCCTAACTACATGACAAAAGACCACAGCTTAGGAGGTTTTTGTTTTTGAGGGCAGAATTAAACTTTACAAATCAGTCTTGCTTCTGGCAGCTTGCTGTCTTCAGCCTTAGGAAAAGGGAACTAAGCTGACACAGATTGGAAGTGCAGTTTTGCCCTTCAGTTTTAACACCACCACAAAATCTAGATGAATATAGGAAGCAGCGATCAAGCTTACTTCTTAAAACTTGGATATCTATATATAAGAAATGCGATGGGCAAGCTGCTATTCTGGTAATTCTCTTACAATGAGATTTGTGTTACTAGCAAAGATTTTTATTAAATATATTAAAAAATAAAATTAAATTCTACCTGTCCTGTAGTGGAGATATGGTCATGTTCAGAGCTCTGACTTAGCTTTGCTGACAGGAGACATGAGCAACCTTGGTGGTGGTGGCAGGTGAGATATAGGGTTAGAGTTACAGCATGGCAGCTGCTGTGAAAAGATGGAAGTATTCTACATGAGGTCGGTCAGCAGAGCAGTAAACATGCTGCAGATCTATGCCCTAGTGGACTGGATCCATTTTTGTTAAGCAGCTGTACCCAAGGCATACCAACTCACGGTAGCTATTGCCTTGGCACAAATATACACTCCTTTTAAGAGCTAGGATCTATTTAAATACATTCAGTAAAATCAGCAGGACTCTCTTGTATACTAAGATTTGATCCATGGCACTTAACTATATAGAATAGGGAAGCTTATGGTAAGAGTGCAACTCTAATATGAAAATAGACAATCAAAAAGTAGATTTGTTAGTTGTTCCTGTACTGGAACAAAACAGGGGCAGGATAACCCTCCTGGGCCTTGGAAGGGTCTTTAAAATGTCTCCTTGCTCTGCCCTGCTTCTGTGTGACCTGAGGCCAGAGCATTCTCCCTAGTCACACTGCTGCAGGCTGAATGACAAATTTGGTTTCAGTTATGCCTGGCTTGAACTGTACAGTAACGAATGCAGTACAGGCAGCCTGCAAGAAAGAGTGATACATAAATTTTAGATTATATGTTGACTAACACAACCAGTTTAGCATCCCAAAGCTCATACTTACCCTAAGGTCACTAACTTGCCATAAATGAGTTCTCAAGTGTTGAATTTTCTTCAGATATCAGAGCAAGAATGGTGTGTGTGTGTGTATGTATGTATGTACATATATATTAAAAAAAAAAGCTAATGCACTTTCCCTTGTATAAAAACAGTGGTATACACAATCCTTTCTATGGCTGTTGAATTTCTTTCCTTCTATGCTGTAAATATGGATTGTATTATGAAACACTATGAAATTTGTGGTGCAATATGTTTTGGATTAAAACTCTAATCTTGATTTGTTTCTCTTTCTTTGTGGTCCTGATTGTGTCCCCTGGGATGCTACAGCTATTTGAAACAGTTTTAAAGCATTGAAGCAGAATTTATCTTTGACCTGTGCTAAGATTGTGTAGTTGTGAAATTAAGGCCTGTTTCTCACAGGGAATTAGCCAGGAATGAGGTAAGGTGCTTCTGCCTCCTGAAATCATCTCTCTAGAGACAGCTGCTACTTGTGCTCTTAGCAGTGCTAAATACAGACTGGATGGATTACAGCCTCCTTCTGCAGTTGTATCAGTTGGAAGCAGGGCCCAGGCTCTGTGCAGCCGTAACCTGAACACAGCGAGGCTGCTGTAGCAGCCAGCACAGCTCAGTTTGAAGACAAAGTTTGGAAGGAGTTGGAAATGAGTGCTCATGTAGTGGTGGGCACTTAGCATAGAAATGCTATTATTGCAGGCTTGATTTTTGAGTGTCATATTTAAGAGTAAGCCAAAAATCAAAACTGCCTTAACTTGTATGATCCAAGAACTTTATTGATGCAGCAGGCACTTTACAATGAAACCAATCCCATAGTCCAGCTGTCCTGTGACTGTATCTATCTATCTATATATATACACACATATATATACAAAATCATCTTTCTAATAAACCCTTCTCCCATTCATAAACTGTCAGAATTGCATTTGTGAAGATCATAGCTCCCTCTTAAATAAGCAGTACAGACAGGATCTTGGATCACCACACTTTGATAAAGCAACATCTGAAAATACCTGCTCACTTTCAGTAGTAGAAGGCAGGAGTTTGCCTTCTCTCTGCCTTAAAAGAAGCAATCAGGAGAATGTCTCGGCTCCTGTATGTGATAGTCAGAATATACAGGAATACCTTTACTCTTTTTCCACCTTATAGGTTAAAAGCAGTCCAAGAGGAGGTTTCCATAGTATTTCAGTAGATTGCAATCTCTAATCAAGATGGACCAGTGTCACTTCAGCTACTTCCTTCTTCTGGGTCCAGAACCGATAGCTGTCTTGGTTTGAATTAATAGTCTTTAAACAGTCTTTCTTGCTGTAAGAACTCTTACTATGGAACCTAGTCCACCTACTGCTAATGCCTGTGGGGTGAGAGAAGGAGACAAGATCAGTGATACAATCACACACAGCCAGTGGCTCTCACATAGGCAGGCTGCGCTTCACTCTTTTTATTCTCAAAACTTTAAAACAGTTACTTGTGGAAAATGAAGAAGTTTTCCCCAGAATATGCAGACATTAGACACATTTCAAATAGTTCTAGATACTCAACTTCACCACACAGCATCAGGTTTCCATGACAAAACCTTCATTGTTCTTAACAGCCTGCAGGGCTGGCAGTGGTTCTGCTGGTACGACTGTTCCATCACACAAAACATGCACTGTATTCATTAACTCCTAAGCAATTTTTTATGCTAATTGCTACCACCAGAGCAGGAAATTCAGTTCTCAAGTTGTTCCACCCCTCCATGTCTGTGCAGGTGCCTTCTGCACTGCTTACACCTTCAGATTCCTGCAGTAGTAAGTTTTATGTCCACAGACTTATTTCTTTGTCACGTTCAGCTCCCTGCTTGTTCCTGTCCTGTGCCATGATCTTGGGAACTCTATGCCCCCTATCCTCTCTGAGCTTATACAGATGAGTGCTTTCTTTGACCCGGGTTTTAGCAGTACATAGGCACTACTACTCTATAAACGTGCTATAAACGTAAGAAGCAAGGAAATGAAATGCAAACAGAACATGGTAACGCATCCCACTAAATGTGAAGGTTAAAGTATGTTCTCCAAAACCTTACAAACTGACTTGCATCTAGTGAAGGACATGGTGTCACTGATGATGCAGAATGCCTCACGTCCCTTCTGTTCCTGAATGAGAAAAGGAGGAAGGGCTTGGTGTGGTTTCATTTGCATCCTTACTGTAAATGAAACATCCTTCTGAACACAAGAAGAAGGATGCAAGGACTGCAAAGCAGCTGCTCAGATCAATGCCAGACCTGACGGACACAGAAATGGCACTGGGCCTTTCCAGAGGATAGGCAGGTGCTGCTGAGTTGCGTGTCCTACCTGTGCTGCTGGAAAGCAGAACTCAGAAAGTTCTGAACAGCGCCCAGCCCGCTGTAAACCTGTCACGTTCCTTTCAAAACAAAGGGGAAGAGATGCTTGCATGTGTCTACATGTTCTGGGCACTGACTACTTTCCAGTCAGGGCAGTCTTGTGTAATGTTACGTACTGGGAGCATCAACCTACGGTGACCCAAAAACAGTCTCCAGTGGGAAGAACAACACAAAATGTCAAGCAGAAACATGTTCCTTCCTGTGAAATTTTCTCCTCCTCCTGCCTATCAACATTCTGCAAGGCTGGGGACAGCTGCTAGTAGCTGGAGTCACCACTGCACAACTTCTGTTTTAACTCCTCACAAGAAGGAAGCATACCTTTGCAAACAACCAACCAGCAGTCAGTTGTGAGCACAGCACATCCCTCCTGCAACCCTCCCACAGAAATGCCACAGAGTGCCACTGTGGGTTCCACTGGAATCTTCAGAGACATCCAAAGCCTTTACTGGTAAACTAAACAGGTCTGCTATATCCTAATAAATTCGGACACGTACTCTGTCACAGCACTTCACTGATGAAAAAATGTCACACCTGAGCTATCCTGGGCATCCCATGAGCCAAAGGCACCTTTCAAACAATTACACCTCCACTTCCAGTTCTTCCTCCGTTGGGGAAAACCAACAGACAGACGCGCAATGCAGCAGACGCTGCTCTGCCACACCCCACCCCACCCTTCCTGGCTGAGGAAAGCTCTGAAGTACCAGCAGAAGCTTCGGAAGCCCAACCTTAAGAGACCAAAGACAAAAGGCAGCACCAAGCACTGCTCCTCAGGGGAGGATCGCCCCCATCGCACACCTCTCTTCCAGGGGGTTCTCCTGAAAGCACTGATGGCAACTGGAGAGCCCAGAGCAAGAACTCACCTTTTCATGCCACTGGAGTAATATTGCACTGCTATTTTCTGTTGGCTTTTCAAATCCTTTATAAATATACTTCATTAACAAGTCAATACCATTTCTGTCTAAGGAGTTCACCGCTTGTTCGATTTCACTGCTTTTAAAAGACGTGAGGACTTTGAGCATGGTTCCCTGCGCCTGCTCCTGCACAGGAAAGGAAAACGCTGTTAGGATCAGCAGAGCTGGACACGACCCCGAGAGCCGCGAGCAGCAAAGCGCCCGGAGCAGCGGCTGCGCTGTCGGTGGTGAAGATGCCGCAGCCAAACAGGAGAGCATTCTGCACCTTAAGTTTCCGTAGTGAAAAGAAAGAAGGGAAGAGCTCTTTAAAACTGGACTTATCGGTACTCCTACCTCGGGAGAGCCACCCGAAGCGCACTGCAGAATTGTCTGCAACAAATCTACAGTCCGAGACCAACGTCCTGCTTCTGCAGCACGCTACAAGATCCCTCGGGTGTGCTTCGGGACTTCCTCTCTCAGCCATCAGTTGCTGCCGGGCGCGTTTCCCCGCACCTCGGGACGCCGCTCATTACCGGCGCGGATCCCGGGGCCGCACTCACCTTCAGGGCCGCGCTGCGCGTCTGGGCGGGGGCGCTCCGCAGGGCCGCGTGCAGCGCGCGCAGCGCCTCGCCTCTACGGCGCGAGTCAAGGAGTAACGGCGGCACCGGGAGCCCCGGACAGGGCGCGACCCGGGGAGGGGGAAGGGAGGAGGCCGCCGGACCGGGGGGACGCGGCAGCCGAAACTACGGCCGCCGGGCGGCAGCGGTGCGGGACGGAACGGGGCCGGGGCGGTACGGAGGGCGGCGCCGGGCAGCCGCAGGCCGCGCTCCCGCCCCGGTCACGTTCCCGGGGCCCCCGACGGCAGCGCGGGCCGGGCCCGCCCGAAGGATACTGCCTCAGCAGCGCCTCCACCTCGGGGCTCGCGTCGGGCTCCGCCGCCGCCGCCTCCTCGGGCTCCTCCACGAAGCGGTTCTCGTCGTACTGATCGATGTCGAGGCGGCGGAAGCGGGACGAGAGCGTGCTCCGCGCCATGCCGTCGGAACCGGAACCGGAACCGCCCCTTTCGCTCCGCCTCACAGGAACCGGAAGCGCAGAGCCCGCCCCGCCCCGGGCGAGAAGGAGGGAGCGGAGGGCGCCCCCCGCCGGCCCGGCCCGCACAGCGCCGCCCCGCCGCACGGAGAGGACGCGCGACTGAAAAATCAGAACAATTCCTTTAATGTACAAATGAGGGGCGGCGGCGCACCGGGCGGCGCGCGGCGATGCGGCCCGACGGCCCCGCGCGAACGGCCTCGGCTGCGGGAACTTTGCTGCTGAAACCTCTTAAAATCTACAGGAAACAAAAAAGCTCAGCGGCACTCAGGGATGAGCGCGGCCCCGGGCGCCGCCGTCGTCAAACAGAAACGCTTCGTCTCGGCCCGGCGAGCGGCGCTCGGAATGCCGGAGGCGCGGTGCAGCTCCGCCCGAATCAATCCGGGGGAGGAGGGGAAAAAGGAAATCGCTACAGACACCGTAATGCACAATAAATTTAGATAATTTAAAAATAAAAAAGGCCAGAGGCAGCATTTCAGCAGCAAAGTGCTCAATAAAAAGTATATTGTCAAGGGGCAGAAGGAGGGACAGGGGCAGCAGGCGGGGGCGGCTCAGAGGAAGTAGGGGGTGGTTGTCCTGGGAGGGATCACTCGTTCTGAGTCTGGGACTGCGCGGAATAGCTTTGGTTCTCTTGTATTTACATCTTTAAAGACCATGATTGAAGCAATGTTTCCGCAGCGATAGCAGTAATTGGGAGCAGACCACACCGTTACCAATTTCTCATCAAACATGAACTTATAGCCTTCGTGAACCAACTGATGCGCTCTGCAGATGAGTTTCAGGTTGTTGATGTGGACAAACTGCAAAGAAAAAAGGCGTGTCAGAACTCTGTGAGGGCGCACGCAGCAGCTCCTGCCATGCAGCGCTCCTGCAGCTCCGTGTGGGCTCAGCTAGGGGCTGCAGCACTGACAGCACTGACAGCACTGACCTGCCTGTGAGGTTTTCCCAAGATGTCTGACAGGTGCAGGCTGTGCTAAGGACATTCCCTGTGCTCCCAGCGCAGCGCTGCTGCCCCCAGCCACATGCAAGGATCCCCCTGTGCCCAGATCCCCCAGCAGCACCCCCAGAGCTGGGACTGAGCTGATGGTGCTGAGAGCAAACCTCTCCTCTCAGAGCACAGAGAAAGCACCTTTGGGTTTTGAAACCCGAACAGTGAGAAATGCTCCTGCCCAGGACAGCTGTGGTGCCTAGGCCTGTGCTGCCCACACCTTTCAAACCTTCCTGAATATGCTGCAGAGGACCACAGAGAACAATGCACAGCATGAGTCAGGAATTCATCTTAGGGCTGGTTCAATGGATCTTAGCCTCAAGAAGCCTGCTTACTATGTTGCAAAGTAACAAAAATTAAGGCAAAGATTGTTAACAAAAATAGTATTTCTTCTTCTGAATCATCAGAAAAGTATTCTACACAAAGCCTAGTAATTCTAGTTAGTCTCACTGCATTATACTTTTTAAAAGCAAGATCCGTGTATTATCTCACTTGGCACTTTTTGAAGGGACAACAATAAATCACAAGAACACCTCCTTCACCTCCACACCAACTCTCAGCTCCCTCACAAGGAAAGTTCCTTAATCCACTCGTCACTACAGTAAGGCTAAACACTTTATCTCACACCTGCAATTATGGAATGTGGCACAGAATTGCATCATTACCTCATTTGTCACCTTAGCACCGAACAGCCAACCCGCTCCTCGCGGACTGATGGCCCACGTATCTACATCTTCAGGATCAGACCAAACCAGGTCACAGAAGGCGCCTTTATGAGGAATTTCTTGATTACGTTCAATGGTTCGAATCTGATCCAGTGTCTTGATGTCTGGAGACAAGCCACCGTGCACACAGAGAATCTGCTCATCTATTAACTGGAGAGAAAAAGAAACACACAAAACACCGGGTATTTCAACCAAACGCAGAACCTCTCTAGCAGGACCCTTAGAGGCCACCAGTTCTATAAGTTATATTTAGACAATCTACTTGTATCTTTTTAGTGAGGTGTTTACACTTACAGCTGCTATTGTGAGCATGTCAAAGACTTTGGTACAGTATCTCCAAGCATTAGCATTTCCGTATTTGGTTTGGCACTCATCTGTTAAATAGAGAATGGTTTTCTTCTTAACAGACCGGAAGAAATTCAGGCAATATGATCAGAGTCAAACATAACAGCACTTGAAAAGGCAGATGTAAAACAAAAAGCAAACAAACAAATAAAAAGCAGCTGGGAGCAACCACTAAGCACTGGGTGGAAAGCACCCTTACTGTTTCTGTGGTCCACCAGCAGGGTATCTCAGTATCTACTGCTTTTTCTTACTTCACCAACAGAGAAAAAAGATCTCAAGCAACACGACTGACAGCACCCTGGCAGTTTCCCACCACAGACTGCCTGGGAACGGCCCTGCAGCTCACCCAGCAGTGTTTATACCATCACGCTTCATGCAAGAGAAGCAAGGCAGAAACAGTGAACCCATCAGAGCTAATTAAAAAGTCCTCTTCACTACAAATAAATGTTACGGTAGCTTTGTTTACAGCTATACAAATGCATCAATAGAACTGGTGGACAAATATTTCTTTGGAGCCTCATGAGACTTGTAAATATTTATATATGCTCTTGTTGACACACTATGGCACGTTATCCAGAAGAAAGCAGGTTACAGCCTATATGTGACAATGATTTTCAGTTACACCTAAAAAGAATTATGTAGAATCTTTCATTAAAAGATACCAAAGCATATAATAAAATAAAAAAACGAAAGAAAAACTGAGATGCTGGAGGAAAAGATGGGCTAGAGATGGACTAAAACACCTTTACTTCTTGAGCACAACAACAGTGTTAACATTTGAGACCATTTCCCACCCAGTTTTAGGAAAGCCCCACATAACGCTGCACACAAAACAGATTTTAAAAGGGAAATACGAGATAGTTGTTTATGGCATGCTAGCCCCTATTCAGAAATCACTTGGGTAAAGTCTTACCATAAAATCCATACACTTGCGTTATCTGCCTGCTTTCATGATTGCCTCGTAACAGTGTGATACGATCGGGCCATTTAGCTTTTAGTGCGAGAAGATAAGTGAAAGTCTCAAGACTATAGTAACCTCTATCTACAAAGTCACCCTGCAAAGTCAAAACAAAATTATAAATAAAGAAACACCAAAGCTGAAAAATGCAAAGCGACAGTCTTTAACTCCTCGATGCACGAAGAAACCTGATGCTGAAGGGAGCCTGCAGCCCATCGAGGAGGACGCGCTCTCAGCTCCCGACAGGCGGCTCACTGTCACCGCACAGCCGCCGCACGGGACGCCCAGCCCTGCCCGCCCCGCGCTGCCGCCTCAGCTCCCCCCGCGGGCAGCAGCCAGGGCTGGGAAGGCACCCAGCACAGGTCCGGGCCCAACGCGAGCTGCGAGGGGCGAGGTGGCACCGGCACGTACCATGAAGATGTAGTTGGTGTCAGGCACCTGCCCGCCGGTCCGGAACAGCTCGCACAGGTCATAGAACTGCGGGATGGGGCACACGTCAGCGCGGGCGGCGGCACCGAGCACTGAGGCGTGTCCCGGCGCCGCGCCGTTACCTGCCCGTGGATGTCCCCGCAGACGGTGACGGGCGTGGAGACGGGCTGCACGTTGGACTCCTCCAGCAGCAGGTCGCACACGTAGTCGCACAGGCGCTGCGGGAGCACAGTGGGTAGCACCACCACCACCACCACCACCACCAGCAGCACCGGGAGAGTACCAGTACCAGTACCGGACCCGTCCGACCCCACCCGTCCGACCCCGCCCCGCCCCGCCCGCGCCCACCTTGAGGTCATTCTCGGGCAGGTACTTGCAGAGCCGTGCGATCTCCACGTACTTGTCCAGGTCCAGCGGCGCCATCTTGGGACGGCAGCTCGGAGCCGGAAGCGAAGCCCTCCACTTCCGGGAAGAGGCGCGGGCCTCGGACGCAAGCGGAAGTTCCGTGCACTTCCGGCCGCGCACCGGAAGGTGGCGGCTGGAGCCGAGCGGGGCTGCCCGGCGCTGAGGGCCGAGCTCGGAGCGTCCGGCCCGGTCCTGTCCCGCCATGGGGCCGCGGATGCTGCCGCTGCTGGAGCCGGGCTGCCGCCCGCAGGCGGGCAAATGGTGAGCGGGGATGGCGGCGCGGCGCGGCGCGGTCTCGGCTGCCTCTCGGCGCGGCTGACCACCGCCCGTCGCTCCCCGCAGGTACCGGCTGGCACCGCGCGGTGAATGGCCCCGCGGGCGCGTGGGCCACGGCTGCCTCTTCGTGCCGGGCGGGCCGGGCCGCGTGCTCCTCCTGGGCGGCGCCGACCCCGCGGGCGCTTTCGCGGACGCCCACTTCGTGGAGCTGGGTGAGGGCCGGACCGGGCGGGGCGCGGGGCCGCCGTCGTTCCCCCTAACCGCGCCCCGCCCGGTCCGCAGGCGCGCATCTCTGGGCCCCGGCTGCCTGGACCGGACTGCGGCCGCGCTACGAGCACGCCACGTTCCTGTCCGCCTGCCGTCCCCCGCGCCTCTGGGTGTTCGGCGGCGCGCACCTGGCCGGGAACCGGAGCTGCGTCCAAGTGCTGGACCCCGGTGAGTGCCGGACATCGGCGGAGCGGGCGTGAGTCCGGGCCGTGGCACGGAGCGGCCCCGCGGAGCTCATGCGTGTCTGCCGTGTTTGCTTTCTTAATTAGAAATAGGAACGTGGGAGAGTCCCGAGGTGAGGGGTGTTCCGCCACTGCCCAGGACGTTCCACACCTCCTCGGCAGCTATAGGGGACTGTCTGTATGTCTTCGGAGGGGGAGACAAAGGAGCAGAGCCGGTTAAAGACCAGCAGCTTCACGTCTTTGATGCAGGTACCTCTGTGTGTCATGGGCTGTGCCAGCGGTGGAAATAACCACCCGCTGTACTGGAGGTCTGCCTCCCAGATTTCATCAGCCTTGGCTGTAAGTGTAAATGGAGAGGTGAAGGTTGCTGCTGATGCGTGCTCACCTCTGTAGTGCAATGTGGAATTTGGGCCAAAGTGGCAGTGTAAAGATTTGGGATGGGACTTCTCATGAACTGTTGGTATTGTTCTGTTCGCTCCTATGGCCCTGCATGCACCAGAAGGGAGCCCCAGCGAGACTCAGGGGTCACTAGTTTGTAAAGCTGTCATTTTCCTCCTCATACACACACATTCCCGTTTTTCAGTTGCTCTGACATGGACCCAGCCTGAAACCCATGGCGATCCCCCTTCTCCTCGGCATGGACATGTTGTAGTTGCAGTTGGGACCAAGCTTTTCATACATGGAGGTTTAGCTGGTGATATTTTTTACAATGATCTGTTCTGCATTGATACGAGTAAGTAGGGCCATAAGTACCTTAGAACAATAGCTGTGCTATGATGTGTCTTGCTTTGTTGTTTTTTTGTTTTTTTGTTTTGTTTAATAATGCATAACCATATCTCTGTTCTTTTTGTCCAACAGCAGACATGAAGTGGGTTAAGATAGCAGCCACTGGTGATGTGCCAGGAGGACGGGCATCTCACTCATCGGCTGTGTTTAAAGATCACTTATACATTTTTGGTGGAATAGGTCCAGATGGGACGCTAGATACTACATACAAGTATCATATAGGTAGGGAGACTTCTCTCAGCTTTGTAATGGTAAATGCCAGTCTGTTTGAAAATGCCTTGTGGTTTTAGTTCCTAGGCTTCATTCTCTTAGCAGTCAATGTCACTGCACTGGAAATATAGCAGTACAAGACCGAATAGTTAAGGCTAGATGGTACTACAGACTAGTGTATAATCAGCAGTGGGACTGTTCCAGCATAGTTTTTGAGTCTGTGAAGTGATGTTTTAAGATGTGAATGTATTTTTGTACTGCAGAGGAGCAGCAGTGGACACTCCTGCAGTTTGATTCTCCTTTGCCTGCTGGGAGACTGGACCATGCCATGTGTGTCATTCCTTGGCGGGCTGGCAACAATGCTGAATCAGGAGCTGTCACTAGGGAAGATAAAGCTGAGTCAACTGCATCAGCTGGTGACAGAGCTGACCACCTCTGCAGAGGCCAGAATGAGAAGGCATGTACTGAAGACGCAATGATGCATCTGCTGTTAATATTTGGTGGGATGGATACACAAGCAGAGATATATAGGGACTGCATTGTAAGTTTGATTGAATAGTTCAGCTGCAGCTGCCTTCACAGCACCATTTCTTTTCTTAGAAGTTTTTTGTAGCAGTGTCTGATTAAGTTCACAATTTCCAATAAACAAATTATTGCCCTTATAAGGGTGGCAGTCCTGCTTTCTGTGCACAGTCATGCTTACAAGTAGGTATGTCAGCCCCTTTGGAAGGCTGCAGCTGCTGTGGTTTCAGCAGCTTCTTGGCTCATGTGTTGCTGAAGTGAAAAGCTGAAGGTTGCAGTGACTTGGGGCAGCTTTCTCCCTGGAACTTGCATGCTCCTAGTTGACTATAAAGCTACTTCCACAGTAGCAAAGCTAACGTTATCTGCAGATTTGGGGGATAATTAAGGGCATTTGTCTTATACTATTTTGAAAATAATTGAATAAGAAACCCAAGTCCCCTGCATCAGAAAAGCCACCTTTCAAAGTAGGTAGAGCAGGACTTGCTACTTCTGTTACTGTGTTTGGGAACCACTGTTGCCATGTGTAAAGACTGACCTTGAGGTAGCTGTTTCCAGTTTTTGGTGCAGGCTGTTTTTTTCTCCTTCAGAAAAGTCTACTGGTAGATGAGCTTTGTCCCCTTTGTTTCTGTACCAGCTTTATTAATTCAAACTTAACAAGGTGCCTTTCTCTCCTTTAGGTTACTGTTACAAGCACTTGTTAACCTGAATACCCAAGGCGTTACTACTTCACTTTTTGCTTTGTAACAAATGTTTAGTGTAATTAGCTCTAAGTGCAATGCTACACTGCAGAAACAATTCAGTGCTTGGAAGTAGTTCTCATTCAAATAGTGGTACTAAGTCCACTCTTCTGGAGCCATTTGCTAGAGCCTGTTTGATGTAAAAAAAAAAAAAAAAAACCTGTACAAAAAAGGAGGACTGTAACCATCTTTTAGCACCAAGCAGGATCAGCATAGTTGAGCTTGAAAGCTTTTGCAGCCTTCTTTGTATTAAGACTCTACGACAGCTAACCTGAACTGTCAATACAAATTACAAGCTACAGAGTCCAGTGTAAATAACAAATTTATTGTGGTCACTTCAGGTAGAAAAGTTCTACACCAAATTCACATGACCAAGCTGTTAAATAGAATGCTTCCATGGCCAATATTTCTAAACCCATTTCTCATTTACATTCCCACCCCTGCTACCCTTCCCTCCCCAGACATCAAGCAACTGCTAACGAAACGCAGTAAACAGCCACTTTGGGCTAGCATTTCCAGCTCCACTCACAAGTGAAGATTCAAAGTTACATTCCAAATTAAGAGTTCAATATTTTAACAAGTGTTCCTGAGTCCAATATATACACACACAACATTCAGAGATGCCAGTATCTACAACTCATCCTTCTCTGCTGCTTCTTCTTCACCAGTGGGAGGGGGGCCTGCACTTCCATACAGCTTGCTAACAATTGGCTGAACAATTTCCTCTAGCTCCTTCTTCTTTGATTTGAAGTCTTCAATATCTGCATCCTGATGGCTTTCAAGCCACTCTATCTTCTCCTCTACTGCCTTTTCTATTGTTTCTTTGTCTTCAGATGACAGCTTGCCACCCAGCTTCTCTTTGTCCCCAATCTGATTCTTCAAAGAATAGGCATAGCTCTCCAGCTCATTCCGGGCATCAATGCGTTCTTTAAGCTTTTTGTCTTCCTCAGCAAACTTCTCAGCATCATTAACCATCCTCTCAATCTCCTCTGGTGTAAGCCGATTCTGATCATTTGTAATTGTGATCTTGTTTTTGTTCCCAGTGCCCTTGTCTTCAGCTGTGACACGAAGGATTCCATTCACATCTATTTCAAAGGTAACTTCAATCTGTGGGACACCACGAGGAGCAGGAGGGATTCCAGTCAGATCGAAAGTTCCCAGGAGATGATTGTCCTTGGTGAGGGGACGCTCACCTAAAGAAAACAGGTTGATACAGTTTCATGTACTAACTGTTGTTTGTACTTTGTGCAACACCTGACTTGAGGAGCATGCTTTCCAAAGCTGAGGTTTTAATTCCAACCTGACATCTGTCTAGATGCCTACAGTACCTTACTTCGAAGAGAAACTCTTTCAATCACAACTATTGAGTAACTATTTGAAAAGAACCACAGGAATAGCTTTTGAGTTCAAGCTGCCTGATCAGAGCTGTCTCAGTTGGTGAACAGTCTGAGCTAGCACTGTTACCAAGCTTCTCTGTATGGAGATGTGCGTAAGCTTCTAAACAGCACCACAAAGCCTTCTGACAAGATAGGAGGCAAGCATAAATCTGAATGAGAAAGTTCAGCTCTACTGCGTGGTTCATCCCAGAGGGCACTTACCTTCATAGACCTTAATTGTCACAGTTGGCTGATTGTCAGAAGCTGTGGAGAAGATCTGAGACTTCTTTGTAGGAACAACAGTATTTCTTGGGATCAATTTAGTCATTACACCTCCAACTGTCTCAATGCCAAGTGTCAGAGGACACACATCAAGCAACACCAGGTCACCTGTAAAAAAAAAAAAAAAGATCATGCATCAGAGCATGAATGACTTCAGCTCCTCTGTGAAGAAGGATAACAGTTTATCACTAGCAACAGCAGTCTGAGTTAGAGACATTAAGCTTCTTATGATTGTGAAAACTCAATTCTAACACTTGCCACTCACTATTCGTTGTCATTACCTGTATCTTGGTCCCCAGAGAGAACACCAGCCTGAACAGCTGCACCATAGGCTACAGCCTCATCTGGATTAATGCCACGAGAAGGCTCTTTCCCATTGAAGAACTCTTTAACAAGTTGTTGTATTTTGGGGATGC